CTGTGATTCCTAGACAGTAAAGATTTCAGGTTTAGCACAAAACCCTATTCCCAACACCGAGGTGCCGCCTTCGAGGGGTGGCTTGCAGGCTTGACTGGAAAGCAGTTGTCGTGACTTCTGAAACTCTTGTGGCATGCTAGGTCTGGTGTACGCTGTCCGGGAGCCACCTGCAGTGCCTTCAGCACCGGAAGCTAGCGAGGCCGAGGCCCGGGGTTTTCGGGGGGGCCCCGTGACCCCGGTCACGGGCTGTCCCGGAAGGGCCTGGGCCGATACGGGGGGGCCCCGGGACAGTCACGGGGGGCCCAGGCAGGATTGTCAAGAAAACGAGCGCAGCAAAAAAACGCAAAATTTGCCTAGGCCTTCCCTCGGACTGGCCCAGAGTCGCCTAGGTCCTTGAAGTCTCCTCACTGGAGTCTCCTAGACCCCCCTGCAGGGTCCCTTGTTTGAGGGGGCCCAAAACCGGCCAGGTTTTTCAGGGTGAAGGGCTTGGGGTTTTGGGTAATTACTTTATTAGGGACCAGTACTGGTCCCGAGGAGAACCTGCTCCGGTACCGGGCCTAACGTGGGCGCTGCTGTTTTCATGGCTGTGGAGAGGCAGGCAGGCGTCTTGGCTCGCCCTGCGCCATTGAGGTCGAGGGGCTTCAGCGCCGCCCACCCACGTAGGCGGCCTATGCCTTGAGTTTAGGGTTTAGGGGTTTAGGGTTTAGGGGTTTAGGGTTTAGGGTTTAGGGGTTTAGGGTTTAGGGGGTTTGGGATCCAGAACTTAGTGCTCACCAAGTCATCAATCCTAGGTTCCCTATAGTCTCCATTGTAGTTCCCTTCTTTGGTTTATCCAATTATATATTACGGATTTTATGAGGTAGCTCCAAAAAGGAACTACAATGGAGACTACAGGTAGGGTGTGCATAGCCTGCAAGTTAGAAACAAGCCACGTGCAGACTCCTATCACAGGCTTGTGAAGGGATGCTGATGGTGGACATTACCTGATGGTTGGAATCACGGAATAGTCCTGAATGTGGACACCGCAGGAATTGTCCATCAGCATCGAACCCTCCGTAGGCTTTAGTTCTGGCTTGTCCGCAGGTTGCAGCCCACGCCGTAAAGGTCAACGTCTTCCACACCATCAACTTCCTGCTGAAGTGCCCAAAGGTTTCCAGTTGAAGGTTTAACATAGAGATCGGAGTCTTAATTTCCCCATGGTCCTATAATATTGGAATCCAGTGCATTATTCCCCTAAAAGTTCTAAACTCTTATGGTCTAATATGGCACAAAACCTTGTTCCAATCAAGGCTCCGTAGTTAATCTGGGTCCCGTAGATGTTTGTTGTTCTTGTTTTGATTTTGGGTATGATGATGCTTCTTACTTATCACAATGTGCCGAAAACTAAGCCGAAAACCGCCAACCCTCAACCCCGAGATCTACGCCATTCGCTGTGAACTTCCCAGCCAAGGAAGGGTTTCAGGTAAACCATACCATACCATAGAGGGTGGTGCAAGAGACCTGCGATTGGCGAGACAAGCATGTAAACCGCCCTATAGTCCGATTGCCTGGTCCCACCACGGCCACGCCGCAACTCATATACACCCATGTTTTCCGATTGCTTGATGCCCACTACAGCCACGCGGTAAGTCTTCTTTTCTGAAACCCTGCAGCCCCCTCTGCTTCAGACCAACCAAGCCTCGAATAAAAAAACTCCGAAACCTATCGCAAGGGCTCGGGGTTCAGGGTTCCCGGGTTCAGGGTTGAGGGATTGAGGGGCTTTGGGAAGGGGTTCGGTGCATCAGGGCTTCAGGTTTGTCCCTCAACCCGAGAACCGAAATCCTAAGCCCTAAACCCTAAATCCTTGACTATAAACCTTAAGCCCTGAGACTATGAGCTGGAGAACTGAGCTGCCGTCGCAGCTTGCAGATGCGCAATTGCTCGACCTTGCTACCAAAGTCCGCAGCCCAAAACCCTGAAGATAGCCGCGTATACTCCAAGGAAAGTGCATGCATGGTTTGGATGTACGTATGCAGGTATGAATGCATGCATATATATATATATATATGTATATATATATATATATATATATATTATACACCCATACAGACTAGACCCACCGCTACCTACCTTCCTGCCTGCCTGCCTACCTACCTGCCTGCCTGCCTACCTACCAACCTAGCTACCTACCGAACTACCCACCTACCCACCGACCCACCTACCTGCCTGCCTGCCTGCCTACCTACCTACCTAACCCACGAACCCTAAACCCTGGTTTTGGGGGTTTGCGGCTCAGGGCTTTTAGGGTTTAGTGTTTAGGCTTTAGCCTACACCCTGAACCCTTCAAACCCTGCGCCGGAGGTACAGCAAGAGCCTCCGCGACCAGGTTCGGAGTGGCAAGCTGGAGATCCATGGCGGTATCTATCAGCTGGAGACAGGCAAGCCAGACGGTTGGGTTTGAGGGTTTGGGTTTAGTTTTCGGATGGCTACAGTAAGAACATGAACAACGCCAGTAACAATCATGAACATTAATGGTTCAGCTTCTGGGGTAGCTCTTACCGTTCGGTAGGGTCCTCCAAGTTGCCAGAGCCACTTCACAGTTGACCGTTCATCCAAGAAGAGAACCTTGTGTGGGTCGACTTCCCCCGATGGGACTAGTGGTGGTGGTGGTGGTGGTGG